TAGACAGGTATAGCTGGGTATCATCAGCATAACAATGAAAATTAATCCCATGCTGTCTAATAATTCTACCAATTGGGAGCATGTATAAAGTAAAGAGAATTGGTCCTAGCACTGATCCCTGTGGTACTCCACAGGTAACCTTTAGGCATGAGGACGATTTGTCATTAACATGAACAAACTGAAATCGATCAGATAGATAAGATTTAGTATAGTATTTAGTACATTAGTAGCCTTTTTACCATATTCTTATTTATAGCCCTGCTGGAGTAATTTCTTTAAATGCTACGTTTGACTTTTGTGATGAAGTAGTGCTACTCTTGCTTAAAGGTAAAGAGGAGGATGTTCGTTTTCCAGGTGAATCATCTAAGTAAGTGGTCCTCCTAATCATCAATCATTCTGCTGATATGTTTACATCAGGCTGTCCTACGTGCTTACCATTTTCACTTACCGCTGGTGAGTCTGACATTGTGGAAAAATTGCAAATGTTCTTTTGGAAAGTTTGTATGAGCAATGCAAACAGCAGCTTTAAACAGAGCGTGCACAAGGAGAAATGGGCTTGTGCACGCTCTGTCATGCATTTAATAGCAAACATGCTCCCTCTAGGGACCAGTTACAGGGTTGTGCATGTGAATTGTTTTCTTTAAGTGGAGAGTACGCACTCTCCTTTCAAAAATTCAGGAAAATCCTCTATTATACCTTTAAGTAGAATTTCTAGGTTCTCTACTCACCTCTTCTTGGGCCTAATCATTAACACTAGGACTAATTGCAATTTGCCTCATTAGTTGTCTGTTTGGTCAAGAACATAACTGTATATTGACATCATGGGGCCACATTTCTGAAATATGAAATGGTTTTTATTCAAGATGAATATGGTTGCAATACAATAATTAACTAGATGGTGCAGGGCTGTGAAGTCATCTTGAAGTCACAGCAGACTGTTTTAACTTACCAGTGTATATTCATACCTAAGATATCTTTCATCAAAGAAAATGTTTAAAGGGACAGATTTCACCTCCATTTTGCACAATTTTATAGCGTTTATTTATTTTCCAAAGCCAGATGAAGGTTGTTCCATGAAGAACTGTTAGCAAGCCCATCTAAGCTAAAAACAACATGCTAACCTACGTAAGCATCTTAGTTTTTATTTGAGTTAACACTTTGTGGTTGATCTTATTTTTAAAGCTGAAAAACATGCAAACAAAAAAATCGATGTTTGGCCGCTTAACAAATGCACTGCTCAAAAAAATTAAAGGGAACACTTTGAAAATACATCAGATCTCAGTGGGGAAAAAATCATGCTGTTTATTTCTACTGATATGGGCTGGGTGATGTGTTAGGAACAAAAAGATGCCACAACTGTTGAGATCTGGAGATCTGCCACCTGTCTCCAGCAGAGAGCGCTGTGGGGCTCCTGAGCTGGAGCCTTTCTACACACCTGAGGATCATCAGCTCATCAGGAGTCCTCCCTACTTAAGCAGCGACCAGACCTGTCTTCAGCGCCGGAGTGTTGACCAGTTTTGGTTAGCGGAACCTGAGCCTCAATCTGAACCAGAATCTCTGTCTGCTCTACAGAGTAACCTGATCCTAATCAGTCTCTGTCCTCTCTGCTCACAGGAAACCCGACTAAACGCTGTAGCTCTGGAGGAGCTCATGTTTGGAAACCTGCCTGCCTGCCCAAAGAAGCCAAACCTGAAGATCCTCAGCCAGAATCTTCCAACTAGTTCTCAGGGGAGAACTAGAGGACAACTCAAGGTCTGAATCTGGCTAGCCTGAAGCTAAGCTCTGTCGCTGCTGAACTCTCTGCTGGAATCACAGTCTCTGGACCCAACCGGTTCCCTCTCTCTACTGAACAAGTCTGAACCTCATCAGGTACAAACCAAGATCCAAACTCTGCCAAGCTATCTCTGCTGCCTGGCTAACCAAACTATCCCTCTCTACAGATATTCTGTGAAACCGAGTCCCGGACCAGTACCAGAACCAGTGCATTGTTTCCCTGTGTTTTTGCAACTCTTTAATAAACTGTTAAACTTTTACCCTGCTTCGTGTGGTGTTCTGCATGTGGGTTTAATCACAGAGACCTATCATGACAACATCATTTGATGGAAATGAAAAGTATCAACCTACAGAGGGCTGAATTCAAAGACACCCCAAAAATTACAGTGAAAAAATGATGCGGCAGGCTAGTCCATTTTGCTTAAATTTAATTGCAGTAACTCAATGGTATTCAGTAATGTGTGTGTATGCATGCCTGACAATGTCAGGGCATGCTCCTTATGAGACGATGGATGGCGTCCTGGGTATCCCCTCCCAGACCTGGACCAGGGCATCACTGAGCTCCTGGGAAGTCTGAGGTGCAACCTGGC